ATACAGTATATAGGACTTATATTCACTTAAAGAAAATAAAAACACTTTAAAATGATTTTCTTCTTATAAGTGTAAAATATAAAATCAAAGACAAAGAAAAAAAACAATAGAAAAGTTTTTTTTTCACCAGGGTTACCTCTACAATATTTAGGGGAAATAAAGGCATGCAATGTTTGTAAAAAAATTAATCCAGATTTTATTTTTTATTTATTATGTTTAATATGACTAACGTTATTCAGTCACATCAGAAAGTTTCCCTGGGGAAGACAATGAACTCCCACTGTCTCTGATGTGTGTCCCATCAGTGTATTCATGTGATTTAAGAACTGAGTAGTCTCCATAATAAGGTTGAGCAAAATAGTGCGCAATGTGCAACTTTAATTGATTATTTTTAGCACTTGACAATTAATACAATTAATGCCAGTAGGCAGACTGACTGGAGATTTCCCCGGACTGTCCGCTCGATGCTCCTCTCTGCTTTAAATATAACAAACATTTTAAAAAGTCCTGTAATATATTTATCATAACTCCAGTTTTACCTGGTCTAGCAACACTATTAAAAAATTATGTATAGCCTCAAGTCTGTACTTTTGATACAATTTGAATTAAAAGAAATTAGCTTGAGATTAAACAGATCTGATTGGACGAGTTGGATGGACCCTGCCGACAACGCCAATTTCTGTCGTAGCATGAAAGCAGAAACACGTTGGAATAATGCCAGAAAAGTCTGTGTGTATGGTCATAATAATGATTTAATTCTAAGCGACGAGCCAACAGAGCTTCCTGATTGAGTCCTGTTTGCCTGTTGCTCAGAATTAAATCATTATTGTGACCATACACGCAGACTTTTCTGGCATTATTCCAACGTGTTTCTGCTTTCATGCGATGACAGAAATAAATGCAGACTGCAGATGCTCAAGAACTGATATAAACAATAGTATCATCAGCATATAAATGCAAACTGACATCAGAAAAGTTTTGATTAAAATTATTAACATAGATTGAAAACAGTATAGGACTGAGAAAGAACCTTTTTGAAATAATACATGACAGGCAATGTGCTGTACACATTGTTGATGACCAGAAAGAGTTTGAAAATCATCTCAGTGTTAGCTGTGAAAGATCAACCTGTAAAAGCTTCTGACAGAAGATAGAATTATGTACAGTGCCAAAGCCTTTGACACGTTAATGAAATAAGCAGCACAATAATCTCTGGCATCCAGGCCTTCTACAATATCATGTAGCACTTTATTAATGGTTGTTACAAAGCTGGGTTGTTCCCTAAAACCTGACAGACAAAATAAAATGTTTGATAAAACCAAGTACTGTAATCTCCCTAAAGACACAGCTTTATAAATCCGATATAATCATCCTTTTCTCCTTCAGTTTCTCTTCCACACATCTCTGTCTAAAGATCTGGAAGAAGTACCAACTTTTTGTGTATTCAGAGAAAATTTAACATTAAATTATTTTTATACAACAGACTCTCAGCGATCTGCTTCAACAAACACCAGCCGCCCATTTCCTGCTGTAGAGAATTTAAAGAGAATTTATTTCCCTGTTTGACTAATTGAAGTGAATTCTGTTTTTAGTTTTGGTAATGACCACAGCCTACTCTACAGTAAAAATCTCTTGTTGCTACGGCCAAATGGCCACGAGTGAATGGCAAGTCAACATTCAAGTTTGTCTCTTTGTTTTTTGCTAATTCTGCATACTTGGTGCTGTTTTAACCATTCATACATCAAAACATTTAGCTATACCCAGGTAGGATAATATAACCTTTTTTATTTGTTGTTAAAATAGGATTCACAGTAGAAATATATTGAGATCACTTGGGTTTCTATCATTTTTTCTTTTAAAATCTGCTTCGGCAAACTGGCTCTATATCTTTTGGTTGCAGAGCTGCAACTTTTAGGGTTTAACTACTACTCAACCGCTGTTAGCTTACAGTTATTCCTGCTTTTAGCTTCTAGCTGCCACTTTTTTCTATGCTGCTTTTAGCTTGGTGTTCTGCTTCTTTGAGAATCTTTAGCTAATTTAACCAGTTATTCAGTGCTCAGAGGTTACTCTGCATTTGAACAAAAGATTAGTTTTATCTTTATAATGTATTGAGCTGCAGTGTAAACAATTTTTCAGTCTGTCCCTCTGCAGTTTAATGCATATTGGACGCCAGACAAACTGATAAAGCAGCAGGACTTTACTGACTGATGAAATAGAATTTGTTAATTACAAATCATTGAAAGAATTCAGAATCATTCAAAGTTTGTATCGGCACGTCAGAACTGTACAAAAATCAGATTTTCAAATTGCTTTGATTAATATTATGGACCACTTGAGGGCAGCAAAATCACAAAATAATGTCACATTTAATTTCGATTTAAATGTGTTGCTCATGTGCAGCTGCAGCAGACTTCAAGGAGAAATGTGATTTATTTTGATTTAGAGCTGAATGTTACATCAGCTACAACAACGGCTGTAAACACTAGTCTCTTGCATGACACCACGAACTCAAACTTATGACAAAACACTTTACTAACTAGAACTGCGAAGCAGTTATGACCGGGGTCCAAGCCCGTGTATACATGTCCACCTTGGCCCATGTCATCCTGAGCATATTGTTGACGTGTGCATCACAGAGTTTTAACATGAGGAGTTTACCTAAGATCTACTTGAGACCCTAATATCTTAAATAGATTAAGGTCTCAGAAAAATGTCACTCCATATCCACATGTCCTCTGTTGCCTTCTGTTCTGTCTTTTTACTGGGAGCTCCATTATTTTTTGATCAAGGTCTTTTTATAAAATTTTTTAAACAAACCACAAAAAAGAACAGACTTACGAAAACACAAAACAAAACACACACACCCAAAATCCCTCCCATCACTCCCCTCCTATACCGGATCCACTGAAATAACAAAAAATGATCTTGTATTCATCAAATGACACAATGAGCAGGTTTGTGTATAATGAAACAATATTTAACCTTTACACAAAATTATCTGTCAAATTTTTTTCTACATAAGATTTAAATGGCTGCCAGATATCAAAGAATTTGTTTACAGATCCCCTAACAGTATATCTAATCTTCTCTAAATGAATGTAAGACATAACTTCTCTTAACCAATGACCATATACTGGAGGATGTGGATCCTTCCAACGAAGAAGAATAAGTCTTCTAGCCAGTAGAGAGCAGAAAGCTAACACCGTCCTCT